TGCTGTGAGCTGTAATGCCACGGCACTCTACCCAGGGGGACAGCTTGAGGCTCTGTCTCAAAAAAAAAAAAAAAAAAAAAAAAAAAGTCCCCTTATAAAAGCCTCCCTACCCCAAAATGCCCAGTCACATTTCAGAAGTGCATTTTGTTTTGCTTGATTACAGCATCCACACTCAATCACCACTCACTCTGAAAATACTTGGGTTGGTCAGACCCTGAGAGGCACGGAGTCCTCTGACCATGCAGATGTGGAGTGCTGGGATAGTGAGTCATTAGCAGCTAGGGGAAGGATGGGGGGACAGGTGGGAGCTTCCATGGGAGGGGAAAAAAGCAGGAAGTTCCTTTGAATCTGCTTCTTGAACCAATAAAACAAAATTCCTTCATACTCTGTGTAGGTATTAGGGTTGACTGGGAAGATTCCCTGAATTCAGATGGCTCTTTGCAAGCTTGAGATTGGAGAACAGAAGCCTGTTGAGAAGTGTTTTGTAGCTGAACTATGCCTGTCTGTTGCCTGTTTCCAACAAAATAATAATTTTTCTTTTGAGAATGCGTCTCACTCCGTTGCCCAAGCTGGACTACAGTGGCATGATCACAGCTCACTGCAGCCTCGAACTCCTGGGCTCAAGTGATACTCCTGACTCGGCCTCTTGAGTATCTGGGACCACAGGTTCATGCCACCAAGTCTGGCTAGTTTTTATATTTTTTGTAGACACAGGGTCTTGTTTTGTTGCCCAGACTGGTCTTAAACTTCTAGGCTCAAGCAATCCTCCCCTCTTGGCCTCCCAAAGCAGAGGGATTACAAATGTGAGCCACCACCCTGGGCCCTGTTTCCAACAAAAATACTCTCCAGCACAGTGTCACTGCACGTTAGTCTGGCAGTGCATGTGAACAAACTTAATGCACTCAGGGAAATAAGAAATGGATTTTATTAAGTTTATTAGCAGCTCAAAACATGATACTTCAACAGTGGGAGGAAAGTGATCCACCCACATAATTTGTGTGGAATGAGCATTTGGCTTTAACTACAGCTAATAAGTGAAACCTAAAACTGAGTTTTCCATCTGAAGACCTTTGGGGTCCATTTTTATACTACCTTGATCAAACCAGGAATGAAAGTTCAAGTTAGCTTCCTCTGCTCCGGAGTGTCCTGGAGTTTCTCCAGTCACACCTCTCCACATCAGCCTTGCCTCAGGCTTCTCCTTCCCTCCCACTGTAGCTTAACTTGGCTCCCAACCAAGGATGCATTTCTACCAATCAGATGCCACCAGAGGGTTCCCTCTGGTAGCTGGCAGGGCAGTGTGAGGGTGTGAGGGAGGAGCTGGGAGGTGCTGGCTGAGGACTCCAGAGGAGACTCATCTCGGAGGGTACTTTTGCAGAACAGGGAGGATCTCACTGGTGAGCTCAGCTCTAGCCAGGATAAAAGGTTAAGGAGGGGGCCCATGTGCTGCTCAAGTTTTAAAGAGAAATGATATGTATAAATGATAACAACTACTAAAACTGACCACAGGCAGGGCCAGCCATCAATCCTCACAACCACTGTTCTACTGTTGGAGGGATCTCTTATGTTCCTTTCACAGAAGAGGATACAAGGCCAGGCGTGGTGGCTCATGCCTGGAATCCTAGCACTCTGGGAGGCAGAGGTGGGTGGACTGCTTGAGCTTGGGAGTTTGAAACCAGCCTGAGCAAGAATGAGACCCTGTCTGTACTAAAAAAAAGAAAAAAATTTACCAGGCACCTGTAGTCCCAGCTACTTGGGAGGCTAAGGCAAGAGGATCACTTGAGCCCAGGAGTTTGAGGTTGCTGTGAGCTGTAGAGGAAACAGACACCATAAGCAAAGTGACCTGCCCACAGCCACATCTCTCAGCATCACAGCTACAGCTCTTCCTTCTGCAATGCTGGGCCTTAAGTGCCTTGCCCTGGAATCACCTTAAACACATTTAGAGAATGCAGATTCCTGGGCCCTGTGTCACAGCTTCTGATATAGTAGGTCTGGGCTGATTCTGAGGCAGAGAAATGTTTACAGATCAATAGACTAGAATGTGAGATGCAGGGTGGACATGGTTGAGGGAGGCTGCCAGGGGCTGAGATGACAGAGAACGAGAGGTGCTCCTTCGAGATCCTCAGAAGAAAAGGCAAGCTGGGGGTTTTGAGACGATCCACAGTAATATCAGACTCCAAACGACCAGACCCACCTCCCTGTGAGCCTTTCAGTTTTCACTAACCCCTGCGAGGGAACTCCCTGGTGTCGAGAGAGACTTATGCAGCTGCTGTGGGGTCCTACAGTTAAAGTCTACTTTGTATTAAGCAGCTTTCCCTTACAGGGACTTACTGCATAAGAGTTATTTGCAAATAACTGTCAGCATGGAAATAAGTAACAATTCTTACACACAAAGATGCTCAGGGCAATACTACTTGTAATATTGAAAAACTGTAAACAAAACAAAACACAGAAGATTGAACTGTGCAGACATTCGAAACAACAGTGTGGAGTATATTTAACGATACGGGAAATGTTCATATTATGTCATGTGGAAAAAAGTAAATAATAATTCTATTTATGTTTTGCAAGCAGCCAAAACAAAAGGTTGGAAAAAATGTATCGCAATGTTAGAGTGGGTCTCTTTGGGTGGCCAGACTACAGATAACTTTCATTTTCTTTTTAAATTTTCCTGTATGTGGCTAGTTTTCCACAAGAAACAGATTATTGTCATATTAAAATTGTCATCATTCAATGCTTACGAGAAGTGAAAAAAATAGTTATTAAAAAAATCACAGCCTGGGGGCAGCACCTGTGGCTCAAGGAGTAGGGTGCTGGCCCCATAGATTGGAGGTGGTGGGTTCAAACTCAGCCCTGGCTAAAAACTGTAAAAAAAAAAAAAAGTCACAGCCACAAAGAAAGAGTGAAAGTGAGAGCAAGGAGAGACCCCCGTTTTCCTCCAGAGGGAGGTTGTGTCCCAGTGGTCATTCCTAGCCTGTGCTTCTCTCCTCTGGCCCGCACAGTTGGCTTGACTGTCTCTCTGCTACGGGGGGAGGTGGGGGCTGTGTCTTCTCTGATCACTCTCATACCCACAGCACCTGGTGGAGGCCTGCACTTGGCTGCCTATGGATAAGTATTTGCCATATGTAAGAATGAACAAGCGAATGACTAGTGCAATTCCCAATCCCTGGGCCATGGACTGGCACTGGTCTGTGGCCTATTAGCAACTGGGCCACATGGCAGGAGCTGAGCTTCATCTGTATTTACAGCCACACCCCATTACCCCCACACTGCCTGGGTTCTGCCTCCTGTCAGATCAGTAGTGCTTCAGATTCTCCTAGGAGCGCAAACTCTATAGTTAACTGCGTACGTGAGGGCGCTGGGTTGCGTGCTCCTTATGAGAATCTACTGCCTGATGATCTGAGGTGGAGCTGAGGTGGTGATGCAGGGCTGGGGACTGGTGGCAAATACACATTACCATTAGCAGAGAGGTTTGACTGCACAGAGACCATAATAAGTCAACTGCTTACGGACTCACATCAAAACCATCACTGCCCCTTGCTCCCGATCTTTGGAAAAATCATCTTCCATGAAATCAGTCCCTGTGCCCAAAAGGTTGGGGACCACGGACATATAGTATTTCCAAACATCCCTGAACACCACTGCTGGGCAGATAGTAGGCGCTTAATTCATACCAGCTTTTTTGATGGAGATCCCGTCAAAAGGGAAGCAGGCCTGGTGAGAGGAGCCAGCATCCTGCCACCTCCCCCAGAGTCCAGACAGGACTCTGGTGCTAGTCGGAGCCAGCCGGCCTCACTGTGGATGCCGCGTGGAACTGAATGGCTGATTTTGTTTGCTGAGAGAAGCGGCTAGGTAGCTCTGGATCTGCAAAGGCAGTCATGCCCGTAACCCACGGCCCCACCCACCCCTTTTGGAAAAAGACTGATAAGCATAATGATGATGTTTTAATGAGCTTAATTGCACATTCCTTATGTTCTTGCAGAGTTGCCAACCAGCTAGTTCAACATCCAGCAGTTTACTTGTAATAACTTTCCCCCCCTTCCCGCTGCCAGGGAGCATAATTACTCTCGCGGTCCTCCCATAGTCCAGCTCTTTCTCCCCCTCCTCCCCTCTTTCTTTTCTCGCTGTTTTTTCCCTTTCTGGGAATTACTCTAAATGGGTATCTTTGAAAGGAGGGTGGCAGGCTGCTTTTGGTACAGTACTTACCAAGAACCCTTTTATCAAAGAGGCCCTTGTGAGCATGCTCTGGACCCCAGCCAATCAGATCATCTCGCTGTCTGTTTCTGGAGAAAATCTGACCCTGGTATGCGAGTCAAGCCAGAGTCTGCAGACAGGCTGACTGCACTCCTAGGCCAACCTGTCTTAGCTGACTGAAAAAATGCTGAAGGGAAAATTACCTGTTTGGCTCCAGACAGAATTAACATTTTCTTATATATATACACGAGTATGTTGATTACTTTTTGTTTAAGAGCGTTTGCCTATCTAATATATTCATTAATGTTATCTGGTCAGTACTTGAAACATTTTGAAATATGTGCAAATGCAATAAGGCTACAGGGCCTGGAGGCAAAATAAGATGAATTTTCTAATTAAATGACAGAAAACTGTTTTGGGATTAACGGATGGCAGTGCTGTAATCTGTTTATGGGCGCTGCTCCGTGCAGGTACATTCGGTCCATGTACAGGCCCTGGTGGGTTGTAAGGACCTAGATACCAAGCACTCCTACCCATCCCTCCCCTTTCTCAACCCACACCCCATCCCAACCAGGCACTGAGGTAAGGAGAGATGCTGTGGCCCTGCCTTGGCAGACAAAGGCCTCTTCTCAGAGAGCACCTGTTGGGAGTCTGCTTTTCCAAGTGGCATTCTTCTGCCATGGGGGTAAATTCATGCCACAGAATTTTTTTTTTCCTAAAAAAAAATAGGATACATCTTTACCAATCCCACATCAAATCGTCACCTCTACTTCATACCATGTATTCCATTTGGAACATGAATTATGCCCAAATAATCAAGCAATGAGTATTCTCTTCATTTCAGGTCAGACTCGAAAGATGACTGCCATCATCTCGCCATGCCACAGAATTTTATGCAAGCTTATCTACCAAGCAGAGTCTCAGGATCCTTATTTTCAAGTCTAAGTCCCCAAATCATTTTATGAACACATTTTTGACATTTCCAATAAAAGGTCATATTTGAGAAATACATTTTATCATTTCTAGTTGAGAAAAGTACTAACTTATTTCCTGTTTCCTAAACCCAGTTGCCCCCCATCCCTCTGAAAACCCAGGTTTGTGGATGCTGCACATGCTGTGTGCCCCCTGGCAGCCCCATGCTGGGCCAACTGCCAGGGCACGGAGACAGAAAAGATGTGGCCTTTGTCCTCGAGGATGGGGTCTGGACACTTCAGTTCCTCTACCTGAGATGATTTCTTGCGGCTTTTGGTATATTCAGAATTCATCTGAATGCTTATAAAATAATAACAGCTTTATACCACTAGAGCGTTAATAGTGGCACCAAGGAAAGGTGATAGAATTATTGTGCCACGTACTTTTTCTCTGTGCTTTTCAGAATTTTCCAAAAGTTCTACAGTGAACTCTTACTTTTGTAGATATAAAACATGCTATTAAGAAGAAACTTCTTGGGAACACTGAACAGGCACATTCCTGAATTCTATAGAGAATAAATCGAGGGACAACAGGCCAGGCCGCAGTCAGTACTAGTGGAGGGGAGTCTGAATGCAGAGGGGGGTTTTAATGAGTGGGGCAGCGTGAGGATCACAGCTGGCTTGGGCTCAGTTCCTGAGTGTTAAATCAAGTAATAACAAAAACGTGACTATGTTTTACATACGAGATTTCCTAACTTCCTGAGAAGTAAACAGTCCCCCTTGGTCGTCCCTCCTAAGGAATGTCTACGTTCTTGCTGTCAGCTTAACATTTTCCCAAAGTTTTCTTGTTTTTACAGAAGCACAGGGTCCCAGACAGAATGCCAGTACTATTTTCTCTGGTGACCCAGCTTGCACACTTACATAGATAGCATCAAGGCCTGCATCAAATCGCAGCAAGATGTTTGTGTGCTGTGTCTCTTCCCAGATTCCTACCTGTGCTGTGTGCATTGTTTTTCCTCTTACGGTTCTAGACCTGACCCTGGAAAGGAATACTTGGAAATTTTCTGATGGTTTGATTCACTCTGACCTAAGGGGTTTCTGTCTGAAAGTGCTTTCTTTCTCCTTTATAATTCCCTACGAAGTCATGGGTGTGAGGCTGAAATCGAAGCTTTTCCAGCCACGAGAGAATGAAATATCCAATTCTTTTCATATAAATATATTCACAGGAAATAAACCGACTGTGTTCCTGGCTACTTCAACTCTGGCAGAATATAAGTCTGGGGGAAGAAGGAAAAAAAAGAAAAGTCCGCTTGTGCCCTTACATGGTTTCTGTTCCCGTACCTGGGGAAAATAGCTAATTTTTATCACCAAATTCTATCTCTGAATGGCCAATGAAAAAATGATGGAAAAAATTCTTTGCAAATAGTGCATGGCATGCTATAAAACTATTCGATAACAGTAATTACAGGTTTGGTCTCAAGAGCAAACCATGACCCTGGAGGGAAAATGCTCCCTGTTCAAGCGGAATAAACTCTTTCTAGGATTTGCATACTGTCTTTGGGAAAATAAAAAAACAAGACAAACAAAAAATAAAAACAAATGCACGCAATCATTTGCCAGAGTTGAGAAAAGCAATTTGAGGAAAAAAAGAAAAAGTAACTTGAGACCATCTTTCTGGTTATGGGATTAAGGGTTGTATTATTATATTCAAAGGAGTAAAATTTCTTGGCTGTTTCTCTCATGTGTCTAAACCTGGCAAAGGAATTCTTTTTTCACAAGTAAATTGTTGTTGAGTCTAACAGCTGATAATATCTCACGACTTATAATACCTTTATATTACCATCTTTTTAGGGCATCTATTTTATGTCATCTAATTCCTTTAAAAGGCAATTTTTCCAACGTATAACTAAATTCGATTGAATGAGAATTTTTATGTAAAATATACATACAAAGCAGGAAGAAGAAATCCTTTTTCGTGTCTTACTTATTGATTATAAAATATGGTTTCAGAGTCCACAAACTATAGACCTCTGTCACGCAGAAAAAGGGTAATTACAGGAAAGAAGTCCGTGGGAGCGAGCTGAAGACCCCAACGACGTCTGCAGTATTTCCAAAGGACAGACGGCTACGCCATCAGCACCCCCAGGAGCTGGATTTTAAGGAAGTAAATAGAAAAACACCAACCAGGCACCAGTCTTCCTTCTTCCTGATGCTCTGATATAGTAGCTGGACAGCTCAACACAGAAAACAACCCACAGCTTACTGAGCGGAGAAGACACTGAGCTTGAAAGCTGTTCCTCACCTACCTACAGCGGACGGGCCCTATAAAACCCTGGCAGCCACAGCAAGGAGAAAAACTCCCATGTTTTTAGTGGTCATTTTCCCAAAGCATATTCTCCCAGAAAGAGAATCAGCCCTTCAACATTGTCAAAGTCTTCTCAAATAGCACAAAGGTCAGAAATGCTAGAGCAACAGAGATGCAGTGGATGGAATCTGCCAGCTTATTCTTTGGGCAACTGTGGTTGGGGATACAGAGACTGCTCTGTAATTAGGTATGAGCTCTGCTTCTTAGTAGTCAATAGTATAAGGAAAATAGCACAAGCCGGGAAAAAATGCGAAGAGGATCAGAAGAAGAAATGGAATCAGGATGATAACAAAGAGGGGCGCTCTGGTTGGAGCCAGGCGTGGTTCAGTCCTGGTAGCTCCGGACTCTGGTTTTTCCACAGCTTAGCAGGGAGGAACTGGTAAATAAAACCTGCACTCTTCTCGTAACAGCGTATTATCCTGGTTCTGCTGTATCTGGTTTCAGTTTATAGTTTTACGTTACCTACATATACAGTTAATCTAGACTGTGACTTTGGTTCTTTTCAACTTAAGAGAGACCTGCTTCCTGTCTGAATGCTGAGTTAAAAGCACACATTAGTTGTTGAACTTGAACAGAACATCTGTAATCTGCACCCTGGCACCTGAATGGGTAGGACGGGGTAAGCGGTAACCATTAGAGTTGCTGCCCAACCTCTGCCTGCTCTACCATCATGAAAACTTGTCCTTGAGCAAAGGAAGCATGGGTGGCTATCTGCAAAGATTTAAGTACCTCAAAGGGATTGTGTAACCAAGGAGAGTCACAAGAGGTCAACTCCTAACCTCTGCAGGTATGTGGTATTAAATCGATCCTTTCACCCGGCTTGCTTTTTGTGCTATTCTAAAATGTGTCACCTCTAGGGTAGTACTTAAGAGCCCCAGACTCCTATCCCATTTCTTTGCTTCTCTGGGGAGATGGACAATTTTATTCATTGGTTCGGCTTATAAAAGTGACTATACTTGCCTCCAAAGAAACTATAAACTTAGGAAGATATGGGTGATATGTTAATGAAGTCTTGAGTGCTCCCCAGTAAGATGTAGGCAGTTAGATTCTGGTCTAGAAGCAAGGATGCACCTTGTAAGATCCTGGTTATAGTAATTATTGAACATACTTAGCTAAACAGTAGGGAGTTAATTATTGAGCACCTACTGTGTGCCTGATAAGACAGATGTGGTCCACTCCCTGTTCCTGCTCTCTCTATGAGTCCTGGCAATCCGTGCATCTTAGCTACAACACCTTCTCATTCTTTTCTCTCTCCTCAAAAGATAAACACTTGGCCAGGCATGGTGGCTCACAACTGTAATCTCGGCACTTTGGGAGGCCAAGGCGGGTGGATTGCCTGAGCTCAGGAGTTCAAAACCAGCCTGAGGAAGAGTGAGACCTTGTATCTACTAAAAATAGAAAAACTGTGCGAGCGTGGTGGCTCATGCCTGTAATCCCAGCACTCTGGGAGGCTGAGGCTGGTGGATTGCCTGAGCTCACAATTTCTGGCTCCCTGAGCCAGAGTGAGACCCTGCCTCTAAAAATAGCCAGGCATTATGGTGGGTACCTGTAGTCCCAGGTGCTTGGGAGGCTGAGGCAAGAGAATTGCTTGAGCCCAAGAGTTGAGGTTGCTATGAGCTATGATGCCATGGCACTCTACCAAGGGCAACATAGTGAGACTCTGTTTCAAAAAATAATAATAAATAAAAGAAATTAAAAAAATAAAAATAGAAAAACTAGCTGGACATTGTGGCAGCTGCCTGTAGTTTTAGCTGCTCGGGAGACTGAAGCAAGAGGATCACTTGAGCCCAAGAGTTTGAGTATGCTGAGAAGTATGCCATAGCATTCTACCCAGGGCCCAGCGTGAGACTCTAAATAAATAAATAAATACATACATAAATAAATGAATAAATAAGTAAATAAATAAAAACGAGTACTTTCTACCCAACACTGGTTCAAGCACTGACATTATTCTATAGCACTAGGAAACTTTTAGTATCGATTTACAGTTCAGAGAGATAAAGATGAAACAACCCAAATCCAGGAGGCAATATAAAAAGAATGGCACAAAACAAATTTATACACTCACTCTAAAAAAACAGGGGAAAACCGACTGGGAAACTTTCATTTTCTTCTTGGATGTCTATTTAAAAAAAAATCCCATGTGTACATGTGTCTGCGGAAACCTTCATTATCTCAACGATAGTGAGGTCCTACAGTCCGATGTTGCCATGGAACAAGCAGTATTTGCCTTTTATTCTATTGCACAATATCTAATTACAGAGATCCTGATAAAATTATGCATTCCTCAGCACAAATTATGGTCATTCTCCAGGAGCCTTCATGTACATACTTTGTCAAATTTCATTAAAAAAAAAATCAAGGATGACTTTGCAGAGTCTAAGGGATAAGCAGTGCCATCTCTAACCAGAGTTAGCCCTTTCCAAGATGGAATTCTCTCGAACCTTCAGTGTGGGGCTGTCAGAATGTCCTAAGGGTAAGAGGCAGCTCACTTAATTTATTCTCCCACAAAAGCATAGGTCAAAACTCTAAAGCCTTTTCTCCCACAGGACTGTTGCACAAGATGCATGTTTAAAAATCAGTCTCTGCTTCCTTCCCAAACA